TGCGTTTCCCCATCCACAGCAACCTTCTAAGAGCCCCTTTGTGACATACTGCAGGGGATATGATGATGGGTACTCAGAAGACAGCACCTATTCTCATCTCTGCCACTAATTTAGAAAGATGAAGAGATTGGCCTAAACTCACCCACTGTGTCTCCTTTCCCCCTCATACTCTTTTGTTTAGATTACTTTTAGAAAGCACTTCTGTGCTTCCCCCAAGAGGCTTTTAAACAATGAGCAATTACCTTAGCTCTCCCCCAAGACCTCACTTTCAAGAATTAATTTAACCACTAAAGGGCAGTTTTCCCATTGACTACAGCCTTGTCATCAAAACTATGATCAATGATAACACAGGCTGCTGCTCAAGTACTAGCAGCATGGACAACTCACCCAAAATTCAATCTACACTAGAGAAAAGGTTCAGCAGAACACCTTTTGCTCCATTTTGCATCTGTGTTCTACCCTATGCTACAACTTGACCAGCTAAAATTGAGCTAAAGGTGTTACCCTTAACCTACACCAGGAAAAAGTCAAATGGATTGATTTTAGTTAGCTAAATCCAGCCTACACATGACCACTTTTCCTAGTAAAAACAAACCCAAAGGAATGAAACCAGTCAAAAAATAATCCTTAAAGAGGAAAATGGGGTACAAGATACATCCACCCCCCACCCAATTATTTTCATGTTAATTACTGGTTAGCACTGATACATGATACAAGGAATGGTGGAGAAAGGCTTATCCTCGTTGGCATTGTTCCAATTTCTTTTCAATCACAGTACTGTTACACAAGCCAACCAGCAGGGGGTAGTGCAATAACATAGCTTGCACCCTACATCAAGGGCCACCTGTTGCTTTTCACTACTGTTTCTCAAAGGCAAGGATAGATCACTGCAGTTGGAGTTGAGCTTCAGTCTCATTTGATTACATGATGTTGCATCAGTTGATTTATTGCATAAATGTTTCATGTAGAGTTGCTAATGTGGTAACAGTTATGGTTTCAGAGCTCTGCTGTTATTTCATCTCCCCAAGTGCATGCCTCAAACTATTAAGGGAGCTATTTTTTTTCCCTACTTGCAAACTTTCCAGATATTTTTTCCAAAACATTTAATTTGCAGTTAGCCCTGGTGACACAGGGCAAGCTAAAACACAACACAGATATTGGATTGAAAAAAAAAATTTGACATCCTACCTGTACTAACATGCTAGTCTACAAGGAAATTAGAACCTCTCCTTTTTTCAGCTGCTTTGTATGTGGAACTGGGAAGAGAACCTGACTGTTTAAGTACCGTAGTAGCATAGGAAAAACTCTGCTGAGTTGGTCTCAGAACCTTTGTTCATTCTGTTTTACTGAGCTTAAAGTCAAGCTCCTAATGCGTTACCACCACCCAACACTGCTTGGCCCACTTCCAAAGAATAGTGGGGTTAGGCTTGCTTTTTCAGCATGGGTAGTGACATCTTATCCACCTACCATTTCCCCTGCAAATTCTGTTGGATACTGGATTCTTCCCTTCCTGTCTTAAAGTTGTTGAAGCTATTTAAACAGTTGCTGTATTTCATACCAGAGATGGCTGAAATGGTTGCTGTACAAAGGTGGTATTTTAGGTTGCAAAAGTAAGCTAACAGTGTTACATACGTTACAGTTCCAGGGTTTACTGCACTTCTGCAGTCTCCTCAAAAGCACCATTTTAAGTCTCAGGCCTTTAGCTGCCATCTGTCTGGTTCAGGACTTGTGTTCCTCTCCCTCCAAAGGAGAATTTTAGGGTTGCTCTTCCTTTGCAATTCATTGTGCTTATCCCAGCAGCTAAATATTTTTTAAAAAAGTGACCACACTAGGCAAGGAAAGGTCTAATGAAGATAGACATGCTTTTTATTTATACTAAAGCAGAACCATGGAAATGAAAACATAGCTTGGATTTTATCCCCATTACTACTTTGGTGCTGAAGTATACAATTGCTCCAATAAAACTCAGGCTTGTTCTCCATCTTAGAAGAGTTTGAGATGGCCAGAAACTTTATCCACTATATCAGCTGGTCCTGGTCCAATACCTAGTACAGTCCGGGAGCCTGGTGCTATCTGAGTACGACCTGCATCTTGGATTATACTCACAGTCAGTCCCAGCTGTTGAGCATCAACAAGGAGTTGAACTAGCGACTCTTCATTAGGGGCTTTGAGAACCACTTTTGGTTGTCCACAATACTCCCACTGTTTAAGCAGCTCAGGATTTCTTCGTTGAACTTGCTTGTAGGCAGAAACTGCAGCATGAGAACACTGTGCTGCTACTTTACCCTTTCCCATCTTTAAGTCATTACGGACTATCAGCACCATCTTGTATTCTCCAGACTCTCCCATGATACTGGCTTCATTCCCCAGCTCATTTACAAACACAGGCATTTTGGCTTTGGATGGTCTAAAAAATCGCCCACGAATGCCCCAGCCCAGGCACACTCCACATGCGACTCCTGCAATTATGCTGAGGACACCCGGTTTAGAGAGAGAATCCATAGTAGCAGATTGGAAGATTGACTAAAACGAGAGATGTTAAGATTATCTTAATAAAACATATCCTTTCATTTTATATTATGCCTTTCATTGGAGCACCACCATACAGCATGGGACAGTGTAGTTATCAGAACGCAGATCACTTGAATCCCAGTCCCTATTGCTTCCTATTAGAGAGTACTCATCTAGGTGAGAATGTGTAACTCACGTTAACATTTTATAATATCTTAAGGGGTTTTTTGGCTTTCTGGAATCATGATCAATTCTTTATCATTGAGAAACAAAGGGACATACATAAAATGGAGAAACTGTTTCATTTTCATGTACTATGAGACAGGGAGAACAAAAGTTCCCAATCTGCCTTCTCTAGTGCATCAGAGTATTCTTACACATCAACAAAAGTGTTGAGTTCTGATTGCCAAATCTTCATTGCTGATGAGGCACAAGCCAGAAGGAACTCGGATCAACTTCTGGATTCCATCTGGCATTTATAGAGCTCCGAGTTAAAAAAAAAGTTTACTTGAATATATTCAGTAAATATTTACAGAACAGATTGGAGCTGGTGCTAGTGAGATAAACATGAAACCATCTTATGCCTTTTTTCTGATCTCTGGAGATGCCCAGCACCCACAACCATAATTTAAATTAACAAGAGCTGCCATGCTCAGCACCTCTGAAAGTTAGGTCATTGTGGGCCAGCTCTTGGGAGCGTAGGGAAGCCTCAGAGTAGTATTTTTCTACTGCGTGCATCCGATGAAGTGAGCTGTAGCTCACGAAAGCTTATGCTCAAATAAATTTGTGCCACAAGTACTCCTCTTCTTTTTTCACAGTAGTATGATGCTACATGGTTCATATACAGCAAATTCTAGTGTCTCAGTTCAGTGGACGAAAGACATGAACTATGTTTTGCTTTTTTTTCAGAATTTGCTTTGTGGCAACAATGATGGTGGAGCAGTACTCCCCAGGAAATGCATTGTTAGAAAGAAATTCTGCAGCCAGAATCTTGCTCTACTTGAGCAAATGTAAAAAAAAAACACCCAAATCAATGGTATCTGAGGCTTTGTGGCCAGAAAGCATTATTTGCTTTAGTAGCCAGTGGGGAAAAGCTGCTATAAAGATCTGGGAAGTAGGAACAACAAGTGCTAACTGTAGTACAGAAAATTTTATAATGAGGTCATGTTTCTTGCTCCATGGAGCATGCAATATAAGCGGAATCGCTCTCAGCACTTTATGATCCAGTGTTACAATTTGAGATTTTTTGTTCCCCTTCAATATAAGGAAAGTTTCTCTCTATCTAAGTCCCAGTGCGTTACGTGCTTTACATGTATAGTTTCTCCACAGTCCACACCATACGTTTCTCCACAGTCCACACCATACTATACAACCAGATCTAGTGATTAGAGGAAGAACAGCTAGCTAGTCCCTACCTGTCCTGGGGCACCGCGCTGCACCCCAGAAGCGGCCAGCAGGTCTGGCTCCAAGGCAGGAGGCCACAGGGGTCCACGCGCTGCCGGAGCACCAGCTCCGTGGCAAATGTGAGCTGGGGTGGTCAGTACCTGTGGGCGAGAGCAGAGCATGCTGCAAAGCCTGCTGAACCTGTCTGGAACACCCTCTTGCACCCAAAATCCCTCATCCCCCCAGAGCCTGCATTCCCACCAGAACCCTCACCCCCACCTGCACCCCAACTCCCTGCCCCAGCCAGGAACCCCCTTCCTGCACCTTGATACCCTCATTTCTAGCCCCACCCCAGAACCTACAGCCCCATTTGGGGCTCTCACCCCCTCCCGCACTCCAAGCCCCTGCCCCAGCCCCAGCCCAGTGAAAATGAGTGAGGGTGGGGAAGAGCGAGGCAAGGGAAATGCAGTAAGCGGGGGTCGGGGCCTCAGGAAAGGGGCGTGGCTAGGGTTTTCGGTTTTGTTTGTACCAATAGAAGTTGGCAACCCTACTCCCATCTCTCAGCGTCTCCCAGGCCCCTGCGTACCAGGGTCCCCAGCCCACTCAGGCCAATGTCCCGTAGCGCCCCCACGTACCAGGGTCCCCAGCCTACACGGCCCCCCGGGCACAGCCTGTCAGTGTCTCATGCCCCCCGGCTGGGGAGATCCCAGGGTCGCCCCCCAGAAACGGGCCTTAGCTGGAGCGGGAACAGGAAGCCGAGTCACCTCACCTGAGACTCGCCTCCCGTTCGTACCAACGAGGTCGCTGCTACCTTCCCACCACGCGCGAGCCTAAGCCGCTTCCGGCCACTTTCCCTCAGCCATCGTCGCCCGCCTATGACGTCACGCCCTCACGTATCAATCGCAAATTATTTAGTCCGGGACGTGGCACATCTTAGAAACGTCACCCACAGCCAACAGGAAAGACAATGAAAAAGACAAGGAAAAAAAAAATCGAACACGAATATTCTGGCCCTAGCGGAAGTGACGTACACGGCAACTTCCGGGAGGCGCGCAGGAAGTAATGGAATCAGCGGTCACTTCCGGTAGGTGGAGTGGGCGAGATTTGCCCGCCCCTCCCACCCCCCAGTTCTGGGTTGGCTCGCGCCCAGCGGCAGCAGGAGCCGGAGACACCGGGTGGAGAAGCCGCAGCTGGAGCAGGGTGAGTGCGGCTCTCGGGTCGATCCGGGTCCCCCACCCGCTGCGCTGTGGGGCCCCTGGAGCAGAGACCCCCCCCCTCTCCCCGCGTGTCCTGCCTCAGCCCCCCTTCAGCTGTGGGCCTCCCTGCCGCGGCGTCCCCCGGCTCTGAGCCTGCAGCGGGGACCCCTCAAACCCTACCCCGTTCCCTGAGGCAGGAGGATCCGCCCCCTCTCCTCAGGGCCAGCCCTTCTTCCTACGGGGGTCACCCTGGGGCAGGGAGCCTTCCTCGGCTCCTCTCCTTCCTCCCCCATCACTGAGCATCTCCGGGAGGGAGCCTCATGGGCGGGAAGCGGGGGGGGCAGGTAACCCTGCCAGGCGAGCCCATGTGCTGTTTTCCCAGCAGAACCCCATGTGATCCTGTGACACTTTATCTGCAAGCCAAGTCCTGTCAGCCCGGCAGGAGGCGATGGTGAGGACTGGAAACTGGCTCATAGCCCGGGAACAGAGAGTGATGCTCAACGGCAGTCTGTGGAGCCAGGGCAGGTGTCCGGGTGTGTGTGTGTGTGTGCTGTATTAGGTCTATCCTTCACTAACGTCTTCATTGTAACTTGGCAGGAGCGAAGGGTCCACTAATGAAATTTGTAGCTAATACTACGTTGAGAGGATAGAAAAGTGTTAAAGAGGATCTGGATACATAGGCAAGAAATAACAGCAAAATAGGCTTCCTCTTGGAGTTGAGGGGAAGGAAAGTAATTGCAGCGTGCACATTCAATGGGAGGCAGAAACCTGAAGAGAGACTAAGGGGGAGAATGACCTGCAAACTAGACATCCGTTTGGAGTGACATATGGCAGTCAAAACAGGACATCATAGTACTAGGCTGCACGGGCGTAATATCATAGTGCAGTCAGCAGGGAGGCTCCATATGGCTCTTGTGTGATGGCTGCTTTGTTAATGGTTGGTTACATTACCAGAGAGAGTGGAAGATTTCAGGGAGCTCTAAGAAGAGGAACAAAAATGATTGAGGCTGTAGGGATTGACTCATAAGGAAAAAATTAAGAGCTAATTGTTCATAGCTTGACTAAGAGATGACTAAGGTTAGGGATGTAGCCCATGAATATTTAAAGCTTGCCACATTGGGCATATGACTAGAAGCAATGGGAGAAAAAAATAGGCTGAATTATGGTGAAAACTCCGTGCTAGTGTTGCTGCAGAACAGTCCCCCAGCAGACACACGAGTCCCATTGCTTGTGACATTTCAAACCAGATTGAACAGAACTCTGGAAATTGTAGGAAAAGGAATCCTTGTACTGGCCCCAAGGGGAATGACTGATGACACAATAAGTAATTTCTCTTTCTCGCTGTTAAAATTCTCTATTCCCTAATTACCCCATCACTGGGGATTTGCGTTCCTCACCCTCCAGCAGCAGGATTACCCATAACGCCATCTTCAGCAGTAAATGCCACCCTATCTATTATACCCAGGTAATAGTCTATTCCCTTTGGCTAGTGATCAGTGTTGGGCTTGTGTTGTGGACCCAGAATCTTAGCTCTTATTCTCTCTCACCAGAGCCAGTGTCATTTCGTGAATATGGCAGGTACTGGGCATTAGGACTCCTGCATTATCTTCCAGCTCTGCCGCTGACAGTTTGTGTGACTTTAGACAAGTTGCCTGATCTTGACAAAAAGTTATCTGTATGATTACTTTGGCAGCGACTACTGTTTGCACATGAAACGGAGTAATTCTGAGCACAAACTGCCAGTTATCCGATTTGTACTATCCTTGATTTACAGACAGGGGAAACTGAGCTTCAGTAAGAGATGTCACAGTGGGAGAACTGGAAATATCACTGACATATATATTGTACATGCAGTTCTTTTTCAGAATCTAGTTCTCTTCCGTGCCTCAGTAGGCTAATCTATAATCTAGGAAAATAACACTTGCCTATCAATTGGGTTTGCTGGTTTAATTAACTTTAGTAATGTGCTCTGAGCACCTTGGAGGGAATGTAGTGCAGACGAACAAAATAATGTTGCTTAAATTGTATTAAGCCCATCTAGGCATTTGCTCTTTGCCTTTACTTTCTCCTTTGGGCTTTTGATCATCTAAAATTATTACAGTCTTGATGGTGTGATTTCACACTCTGCAAGACTGTGAAAAGTTAATAAGTCCTGTTAGGGGTTGCAAACTTTCGTCCTGTCACAATGCTCACAAAGTAAATGTCAGATCTTTCTGATGCATGAATTTGCCCCACTGGAAAAATTCACATTAATGGCAACCCTCTCCGTCTCAACATCATATTGCTTTTGCGGTTTGGGAATATTTTTTTTTATTCCATGATAATCATTGTAACTGTTGGTTATGTGATTACTTCAGCTAACTTTTGTAGGATACAAAGTTTGGAAAAACATGTTGTGCAATAGGAAATGTCATCTTCTCTCAGCACCATCTCTTAATTTGGACTGAGCTTTGTATCCTCCTTTTAGTAGTTGAAGTTGGCAGTTCTGTGCATTGTCTATGAGCAGGGTTAAGAGCAGGAGAGTCAGTCTCTAGTTCTTAAATGGGGAATGGCAGTGGGAAAGGAGAGCAGATGGAAAGAAAGTGCTGACCTCTTAACTTCTGGCACGTCCATGTTTAAATCCTGTACTGAGAAACTTTTTTTCTACTTCCTTTATTTTAGTTCATCTTAATCACAGTTTTTAATCAGATCTCCCAAACACTTAATACTGCTGAAAAAGAGTAACATCTAATTATTGAATATTTATGTCTCAGTTTACATGGCTTAATATGTATAGGAAAAATAGCACATTGTGGAAAGTGCTTGTACAATATATATACTGGCGTGTTTTAGAGACTTACATCTGTTTACTAGGGGCAGCAAGATATTTATTTTGCTTTCTGGGTTAACCCATTATCTACTTCAGTTCTGACCAAACCTGCCATTTGGCTTTATTTCAGACCTGTGGTAATAGCAGTGCTGGACTGGAAGAAGCCAGCCTTGGTGTTACTGCCCCTTTTGACCTGGAAAATGGTTGCCATTTCTCTTCTGTCATTCAGGGAACTGAGATTTTGAATTGGCTTCTCAGTTCTTGTCCCCAGGTTGTCAGCCTCCCAGTGAGTGTGGTATGAGTGACCATACCTTTTGGTGTATGGATGTGACAGGAGACAACTTTTTACCTGGGAGGTAAAATTCTATTTTTTTCTGCAACCTGAGGATAAATACTTCTGCTCAGCCAGATCCCAGTGTTAGCTGGCTAGACTTCGGGTGTTTCAGGGATGTGAAAGGCATGCCCTTCAAGTTGGCTGACTCATTCTTCAGGAGCAGCAGTTCTAGTATAACTATAATTTTTTTTCCTAATTAAATTAATTTCTTAGCATTCCCTGCTGAAGAACCCTCTTCAAAGGAACCTGTTCCCCTTCTAGGAGGTCCAGAATTCACCTGTGTGACACAACTGGTGTTGCTGGGGTGCTGCCGTCCAGTCAAGTATGTCCTAGTTGCAGTGTCTCATGTTTTGAAAGATGTAGTTTGGGGTGTGGGAATCATGCAGAGCAGGTGAATGGGGAGACAAAGTCCCCAGTGGCAGCTGTAGAGTACTGCAGTCAGTGTTTCCCATTAAGTCCACTAGGAACCTCTCTTTTCTCCCTTTCAGATTTGAATAACCAGGGTATGTGGTTCCACATACAGAAGAGGCACTTCCTAATTTTAATGACCAGGCAGGCTTGGGCATCTGCTTCCTGGGACCAAGTGTCATCCTCTGATTAGAAAACAGGGTAGAGTCAAATCAACTATAAAACCCGTCTGCTCCACCAGCCAGTGGTTGGGGGTAAGAGGTTGTGAAGCTACAGGCTGCTATTGTGCCAGGACTACAGTGTTGCCCATTCATTCTAACTGTAGCCTTGCTGTCTCTTTGCTCACCCACCGTTAATTCCCACTGACATTACCTTTTGGCACTAAACGAATTTCTACCTTGTGACCATGTCATTTCCTGCCTCTGTTTGTATTATAAGTCTGTGGAAGCTGGTGATAGTCTGCTTGGCTGCTGTACTCTAAACTTTTCTAATGCATTGTTGAGTACTGTGTTAGAACTGTATTAAAAGCACTAACGTTTGCAGGTGGCCCTGCATGAACTGCTTTGTGCTTCTTAACGTTGGGTTTAGGTAAAGCTATGTACCTGTCTAACCACTTAAAAATGTGGTTATGTTCTTTTTTGAAGATTTCTCTCTAGTCTGTCACGTCTTGCTCAGAATCCATTATTTCTCCTCATATCAGGCTTTTCAAACCATTAATTCTGCCGAAGGGACTGTTCAAACCTTGCCCCAGTTGCTCTGTATGGATGGGCAAAATTGTGACCCTTAGTCCCGTCTGTCCTCCTGAGCCACAGAGCATTGATTGGGTGTTGTGTGTAATACTTGCCACTTAGTCTCTGTTTATAAGGTACAGTAGTATCTCACAGTGCTTTCCAGATACCAGCTTAATGTGGTAGAGGAAGAGCTTGTTGTCTTAGTGTGTTCTGGTTCAAAATCAGCCAGGGGGTAACAGTTTTTCCAGTGATGATTTGATATGTAACAGGCTTAAAGAAGCATGTTCTGGTCACATTGTTAAAGTACAGGGTACTGGACTTTTACAGTAACTTGGCTGCAATACTTATTATGAGGTCTTTGAGGAGCCCCTCACATCTCCCTTCCTAGGGGCATGCATCATCCTCTCTCTTTGGAGAGTTAGAAGTGGTTTCGTCTGCAACCTATCAATGCCATTCAGAGCACTGTCTGTGTCAGCCCAGAGGAGTTCATTAAAAAGCAATTCAGGGAACTGGCACCCTGCTTCATGATCCACCCCTAGGTTAGGCATGTTGTCTCCTGTCAGCTTACAGAGTGAGGACTCTGACCTGTGATCCCTGTCGTGGCAGCTCTAGGCTGCTGGGCCAGCCAATTCACTGCTGTGTGGAAAAAACATGAATGGCAAAAACTCAACCTGAAACACTTTGAAAGGGAGTAAGAATTCATTCTTTTGTGAGGAGGAAGTGAGCCTGGCTATAAAAATGCAACTTTTAAAATCTCTACTAAAAAAGGTGAATAAAACGGGATTATTTTCTGAGTGTGTTGAGTTCCTGTCTGCTCCTTAACATGGAGTAAAGCCAAGTTCTTGCTTTTCTAATGGAAGAATTAAATTAAGCCTCCTTATTTACATTTTTTCCATTCTAAAATTCACTAGGAAAATGTGAAATTACAGAACTGTGGGGATACTGGTTCTGAAGTGATGTCCGTCCTCAGTTTGGAAAATGGTACAGAATACTAACATTCCCTATAATTATTCTAAATAGATTACTTTTTAAATTGTTTTTAAAGGAAATAACTTTTTAAAATGACTTCTGGGTATTTTAGAGGAGGACAGGCAGAGTTTGCACAAATAAGCACCACTGAAGATAACTTGTACAGCCTCAGTGGCTTGCGTTTTGGCTATTAATATTTATACAGTATAGATAAAAAGGACTAATGCAAATATGCATCACTCAGGTACTCAGATTGTTCCTGATCCTCCAATTGGAGCTGCACAGATAGACCATTTTAAACTATGCAGAGCCCTTGTTGAAGTCAGTGAGGCTCCTCACAGGCACAAATGTTCAGTTCATGTGGATCTGATTGTAGGATCCGAGCTTTTAATAACTGAAGTGGCCTCACTAAAATTGGAGGGCTACGAGCACTATGGATTAATTCTTTTTAAAAGGCATCCCAAAGTCTTGTTGAAAAGATGAAAAAGTTAGCCGTCGGGGGTTTTTTCAGATGACTTTTCTCAAGCTATATTTGACTAAAAATTGGAAAGTAGGTTTGGTGAACAGAGGCATGACCCATTAAATGGAAGCCTGTGGTCTTTAAATTACTTGTCCTTTCCTTTGGGGATTAAACAGTTTTAGCTAGAAGAGCGTTTTAGTACTGGAATATATGCACTCATATCAAAGTAACCCATTATAGATAGATCTATGGAGATTTTGAATGCCTTTAAGATGTGTCCTAATTTTTTAATTGAATGCTCCCCTTGAGTTTTCAAAGGATTAAAACATCTCAAGCTGTTACTTTTTATATTTTCTATGGGCTTTTGGGGGAGTTATTAACTGTCAAATTATGAATTGTCAGTTTTATATCATGTGATGAGCAGGCAATATCTTCCTCTATAGGGGGCAGAAGATCTGGGAGAAGAGCACTTACTTTGGTCTTGAATGTCTACAGAGCTGACAAGAGAGTAGACTGTCCCATTGGCTTAATACACAGAAGAGGAGAAAAAGATCTGAAATACTGAACAGGAAGCTAAAAGGTATATTAATGTTTCATTTGCAGGCTGGTTTTTGTTCTTTACTGGCAGAAATTCATTCATGAACAGATAATCCATGACTATCTAGTGGAGGAAAGTGTTTTTATTTGGATAAGAACAAGGCATTGTCAATCTAGCCTTCATTAAGGGCTTGTCCACACCCACAACGGGGCAGCAGTGCATCTGCCCTGCTCAGTGAAGACACTACCTGCACTGATAGGAGAGTTCTCTTGTCAGTGTAGGCACTCCATCTCCCCGAGAGGTGGTAGCTGTGTGTATGGGAGAAGCCCTCCTGTCGACACAGCGCTGTATATACCAGGAATTAGGTCGGTAAAACGATGTTGCTCCGGGGTGTGGATTTTCTCCACCCCAGAGCGACATAGTTATACGGACTTGAGTTGGTAGTGTAGACCAAGCCAACATTGTTGCCTTTGGATGAGTAATGAGTGTGGGAGTGGTAGAGGGAGGTAATTAAACCTAAAGTAAAAAGAAACCTTTGTTTTAGATCACTGTCTCTGCTCTCTGCATGTCTCTGCATCCTGGGCCCTGTTGTATTTACTGTGGAAAGAAAGGACTTTCATGTTTAATTGGTCATTTGGTGCTGTAAGAAGGGAAATGTTAGCTCTCAGTGGACAGAGAAACTCACAACTGGTCATTTGTTCAGTGCCTTCCTACTATTTTGTGTTCTGTGAGCAGGGTTTTAGTGGCCTGTCATGCTTGAGAACTGCAGCGAGTTATGTTAGGCAGTGTTATGAAGGTGAGTCAGACCCGGATGGCTACCTTTTAGTGAAGATGTTTCTTTCAAGGGGCCTTGTCACGTTGATGCTAATAGCATTTTCCATTAGGGTTGGACATTTGTTCCAAAACAGTGTTAAATATCTGTAGACTTCTAGTGACTACAGTCTAGTTCACTTGTGATAAATCACGTGGTTCATGTTTAAGGCTGCGATTCTTTCACAGAGATTGCAGAACTCACAGATTCTGTGACCTTCGTGACTTCCGCAGTGGCTTGTGCGGCTGACTTCAGGGCTGCCAGAGCAGCTGGGCAGTCTGCTCAGGTGCCCCACGGCTAGCCACACTGGCTGCTGCTGGAGCAACCCCAGGGCCAGCTGCTCTAGCAGTCCCCGGGACCAGCTGCACCAGCCGCTGCTTGGGAGGCCCCAGGCAGCTGGTCCCAGGGACCGCGGAAACGGTATCTGGTGTGGCTGGCTCTGGGGAGTGCCTGAACAGCAGTCCTGGGGGTGCCCTGGGGACTGCCCGAGCAGCAGCAGTCCCAGGGCGGCTGGAGGCTGTCCGGAAAGTGATCCCCGGGAGCAGCAGCTGGGGGGCAGTCAACCCCCAGCACTTGCGCAGAGCCCCCTGGAGCAGCGGGGCACCAGAAATAGAGATTTAATTGCTGGTATTTTTGGTAAAAGTCATGGACAGGTCATGGGTGGTGAATTTTTATTTATTGCCCGTGACCTGTCCATGACTTTTACCAAAAATACCCGTGACTAAATCTTAGCCTTATTCATGTTTTGTCACTTCTGTAGGGTTGTTGTTTCTATTAGAAGTGGAAGAGCAGGGGGCTTTTTGTGTCTTGTAAAAACGTGTCTAAAATTGTAGTTTTACATCATGTAGCTTTTCTCACATTGGTCTGTAGTTACTTGCAGTTTAAATTTAAATGGTAACGCCTGCAGTACATACATCCTACAGTGACAGAAGGGGTTTTTCCATTGCTGTAGTAAATTCATCTCCTCGAGAGGCAGCAGCTAAGTCAACAAAGAATTCTTTACAGGGGTTAGGTCGACTTAACTAACCCTGAGTGAGGTAGCTAGGATGACCTATGTTTTAGGTGTAGACCAGGCCTAAGAGTAGCCCTTTTAAAGACCTGTATGCTGCCCAGCACTGGGATAAGGATTCATGTGCTAATTTTGGGTTATTTGTCCTAATGAGGTCTTGGCCTTGGACTTACCCTGTATTGTCTTTGAAAACCATGAAGTTGTTAAAACCGTTTACTTGTTTCCCTGATGTTTAAACATAACGGGGAAGGTCTTCTCCAAAAATCTGAGGTGCAGTGATTAAGGGGAAATAAGGGATTCTCAAGAAGCACTTGTTTACCTCTTGCAGACTGGAGTGCACTGTTCACTCCTCCAGACTGGAGTGCAAAGTACGTCTCCTGCATGACTTTCAGTCACTGTGAGTTGGAAGATGAAGATACCTTAGTGAGTTCCTGAGTGAATGGAACGTCTCCAGGCTGGTGTTTTTGGAGATTAGCTTTGGGTAAGCTGCAGAGTAGGGCATTCCAGCAGGCCCCTCACAATACTGAAAGGAAAGATTTTATACACCAGGCTGACTATGCTTTAAGTACAGTTGACTGGAATTCTAAATCAGGAGTTTTAATTTGGTTTTATTTTGACACTACAATAGTTTGTTGTTACGAATTGTTTGTAATTTTACTCCATAGTAACAGCCTTTTGTTGTTGTTGACAAAGTAACACTTTGACTACCAGTAATTGTCTTTGTGATGAAAAATGTTATGAATCACACTACAGCTGAATAGAGTATTGTGGGGCTGGTGGGCAGTTCGCCAAGAACCTTTTGTGAGTGAATCCTGGGATCGCTCTAACACACAAACAGTGTAAATAGCTCAGATGCAAAATGAAGGGAAAGTTGCCTTCTTTAACCCCCTATTTTGAATGATTTATTCCGCTGTTTGCCGGTCACTGCATTATATTAGGCTGCTTTCTGTCTAGATACGGAATGCATTTCCTTTTCAGTGCTCATAAGAGGTGAGGGTCTGATTCAGTGCTGGGGCTTAACTTGCTCATCGCGCACGCACCTGCACCCTTTTAGAGATAGATTTGAGCAGACTGTCCTCAGGTATCTTTTTCTCTTTGATCTGGGTGAGGCATCTCGGCATTATTCATTAAATACTTGGCAAAGGATCATAGAGGATGCTCAGCAACATATGAAGGGTCTTATGTGGACACCAGTAAATCAGGAGCTACTGTCCCTCTCTGGCCCCAATCATATAGGTAATACAGTAATCAATTTCCTTGACAGGATCAGTGTGTCTGTTAGGCCTCAAACAGATTAAAATGTCTAAAAGCTAAACTTGCTTTACTTTCTGCATGTGCATCCTTCCACTTTTTAATCACAGCGAGATGTTAGTATATTTGAGTGTGTTTGAATTAAGTAAAACAAAAATAACTTTTGAATTAAACAAAAACCTGGGCAAAGTTTGTCAACTGCACCACACTCAGACCTGCAGTGTGAAAAGCCCTAAATGCCCTACTTCTGAACCCAAGTGCTTAAACTTGCTGCATAGGCCCTTACAGTTTTGCCATAGAGTAAATGTACTTGGGACCTTCTTAATGATTATGTAACTTACAGAAGTTTGCTAGGAGATTATATACATGCTTTACTGTAAACACTAATTTGTGTATTTGATGTAACATTACACAAAGCTAAGCCCTTTCCAAGCAGACAAGGTAAGATTTGCTCTCTGTTAGCTGGATTTGTATAGTACAGAGCCTCTATGCTCCTGGGAGCTGTAGATTTTTCCTGCCTTTAAAGTGTTTAATGGACAGCAGTGGAATTCAGCTCATTAAGCATTGGAGAATTGCATGGAAACTAGATTGTAGCATCAAACCATCAGAGCACTTTGAATTATATTGCACTAGCTCCATTTTATTGAAACATAATTAAGCAGAGTGTACAGACACAATCTTTCCCCACTGCTTAAAACTCTCCTAGCTTGGAGGCTAAAACTGTGCAAAAGAAAGAATTAAACTAAAATAAAGAATAAATCTTATTTATGCAGTTTTGAAATGCATGTTGGCTACATTTGTCATGCATAATGCCTGTTGAATTTTGCTGACTTCAGAGATGAGCAGTCTTTCAACTTGGCTCTCAAAAACCACTTCCCTAAGAAAATGGTACCTGTATAATCATCAGTAAATGCAACTATGGTCTTCCAATTTCACTATTTCCCTTTGCAGCCCCAAGCCTAGTAAACCTCTCTTGCATAGCCAGTTAATAAATGTGGTCACTAGAAGTGATACAGTCTGCCACTTCGTGGAATTGCTGCCCTGCTGAAATCAAGAGATGGTCAAACATTTGTCCCTGTGTCACATAGCCACACCCATGCTATGTTCTGATTTGTACTGGTGCAATTCCACTGCAGACAATGGGGTTATGCTAGTGTAAAACTGGTGTGGGTGACAAATCGGGAGAGTCTCTGCCCTGGTAGCAGTTCTGAGAACATCCTTGAACTAAGGATTCTCATGTGACAGTATAGCTATGTTGTAAAGCTGCTGTTGTCCCATTTCAGCACTGTGTGATCCTTAAGGCATGGCAGGTTTTTGCAGCCTCTCAGGTATCTATCATTCTACAAAAGGAAGCTTTTGCAAGGTCACATTGCTTTGTCTGCTATTGGTTTAGTCCTTTTGGAACCCTTTAGCATTTGACTAAACAGTTTCTATTTGCAAAATAACTAGTTTAAACACTATGTTGCTCTTGCTCATTTGTTATTTATGGGGAAATATTGCTTGGCGGAAAGACTGCATGAGTGATTACTGACATTCGGCTGATTTTGTTCATAAAGCTTACATCTTTGGGCAGAGAAATAGGGTATTTAGTTAAAGGGATAACAACTTAAAATCACACTTCCACCTGAAAATGTTTCGCCAGCTAGTGTTACAAGTAACACATGAGACTCCTACAACTGAAAGAGATTAAACTATAGTATTGATAAAAAGGAAAAAAAGAATAACTTGGTGCATTTGCCATAGTCAGTTTCTTCTGTTTATGTGGGATTTCTTACACAGCAACAGTGTTGTGAAAAACATTTGTTAAAATAGTAAACAGAGATATGTAACCCAATAAAAGTCAGGAAGGGACATTTGGGGCAAGTCCTCGTATCTGAAACATATTTCAACTTATTTTTTAAATTGACTAGATTTAAAGTTTCTGCTTCCCCTTAAACTGAAGGGAGAGCCTCTCATTCCTGCACAGCTGAGTGTCCACTTGGTTCTTTTTTCATATTTGTCTTGAAAACTATTTTCATTTCCTACCAATGTGCAGTTTATATAACTATCATTTTAATAGGCTTCTCATGTCAGAAGGAAAAGGAGACTATCAAAAACTGTAAATCTTATTTTGTAAACCAAGAGAAACTTAACGCAAAGAAGATGTTTTAGCTTCCTAGAGTATTTCTTCCAAACAATTTTCGAGAGGCTATTTTAAGATGCAAGAGTTAAATTTTAAAGTAGGGAACCTCGCTGGATTGTGGAGGGAGTTTGTTTGTTTTATTGCATAAGAACTGTCAGCTGGTCAGTAGAAAATATCTGTTGCAACATTCTATTTCAGGCTGTCCTCCCACATGTTGCAGCACTTATACTCATGAATAAGAAAGAACGTAGTTGGTTGTTAAAATTCTGTAAGGATGAAAAGATGTAGACAGAAGAAAAGAGCAAATAATGGGGGAAATGTATAATTTTCAGATCACTTTAGAAGGGGGCAGATTTAGAGCATGTTTTTACTGTTTTTTTTTTTTGTTTTTTTTTTAATTTTAGATTGTGCTTTAGCAAACAAGGGACAAATCTATATCCTAGTTCTTGAACTAGGTTATTTTTATTAAGGATGTGAACTGTTTTGGTGGATTGTTGCATGCATGGTTAGCTGGTGGGCATGTGCCATCATGCAGTCTGATCTAGTTTCTAGTGTGAAGAACATCGAGAATATGGAAATATGGTTTCAGTAAGTATTTCAGAATTAATTTAGGTAGGGTTTTTCGATTTACAACTTGGCTTTGTAATTTGGTCAACTGCAAAGCCAGCTGGTAGCATACCATTATTTGTCCAGGGGCTGTAGTGGTGTGTGTTCTTTCTGTGTTCACCACACTTCAGTTTTGAACTCACATGTGTCACATTAAAGGTACCTAGTGCTTAAATTAACTGAAACTTGTCTTCAGTGGCAACTCATGGAACCAGTAAAAATGGGTTGCCTAGTAGAAGTGAAAGTTAAAAGTTGAGCAAAGTTGTACTTTGGGGAACGTTGTAAATAATGCAGGGATCACATCAGACTTCAGTTCTGCAGTTTAGGTTTCTGTGTGTGTGAGATATGTGGTTTAAGATTGCCTTTGCCATATTGGCAGTTCATTCACTTCCAACATTTATATAATATTGTATTGCAAGAAAGGTAAGCATGCTATGTGGGTGGCTTGGACATTGGCATACTGATGCAGGATCTCTCCTTTTCATCCTCAGAATAAGTAATAAATGGAATCTTATCTGTTATGGGTAATCATTATACTTACGCTTTTTTTTTTTTGGTTGCTATTAGATCCTCATAAGTGACTGATCTATGAAATGGCAGAGAATGGAACAGATTGTGACCAGAGACGCATAGGAATGATCAAAGAACAGCACAATGGGAACTTTACAGGTAGGCTGAAAATGGCTGTTCCTCCTCTAGTCTAGTCAATCTGGTACCTTCAATTACCCTCAACAGACTCTGAGGAGATATGTGGGTTGGGAAACTTAGCCCAAGTAGAACTGAGGGGGAGACTGACATAGAAATATACTGCCTAAACCAATTCTGTATCCTTACCATGCACAAATCCTATTGACTTGAATGAGTGTATGCTTAAGAGCTGCAGCATCAGGTGCTACATTGAAGAAAAAAAAAATCTTTTGGCAGGTATTTAGGTTTAGAAAGCATTCCAAGCAACTCAGCCCTTTGACACCAGAGATTGTACTCAGACAATGAAAAATCTACCCTGCTTTGGGAGAAACCCAAATTTTAATTTCTGAATTAGCCCTTCTGTAAACTATAGTTTGCCATTTGCTAAAGAAGAATTACTGACAAAACAATTAGCTTCTCTTGGTTATTCTTTGCCGGTGTGTTTCTGTCAGTGGGCCATTTCTTTGGACTAAGATAGAACTAATGCTTAGCGCATGGGATCTTATTTATGGAAAGATAACCAGTTGGCTGCTTTATGCTGGATTTCATAACAATGATCATAATCTTACCTTGTTTCCTGTCAGCTTCATATGGTTTGTCTGTGCCAATGCATGCCCCTATGCAGTTTAGCATTCTGGATCTTTCTCTTTCCTTACCTACTTCGTCTCTAGTCATTGGTTGCCATATATATATACTCTGGACTTCACCATTCTGAAACCAGTGGGTGCCAGCACCATCTCTGTTTGCTTTGCTTCCCTTCTTTCTGTTTTTCTTTGGTGGAATAATCTCCCTCTATGTTTATACCATTAGGTTTGGTTTTGTTTTGTTTTTTTCCAGATTTCTTCAAACCACTCATTTATTGCTCTTTAACCAATTGTTCTCGTCCTCCTCACACTGTTTTGCTAAGTTTGTGGTCTTTTTCAACCCCTCATTTCTGGTATTGGTATCTGTTCATAGTCCATCGTGTAGCACTTTTAATAACTGTGAAGTGTCTTTGTTAAAGATGTTCTGTGAAATGCCAGAGAACGGAACAGATTCTGAAACCAAAAATATAGCACTATTCAAAGAGGGGGTGGATATCTGTATGGATAACAAGAATATACAAGCTTTTTATATTAAAGTTATAGAAGGGACACACAACCTCATGCTTCAGTGGCTTAAATCAGTTTTTAACTAGTAGGGGTTGGAAAGAGACTCCCCTGGAAGGCAAGTGATTCTACATATGTCTATTATGGGGTTTCTTGCACATCCCTCTGAATCATCTGGTGCTGGCTACTGTCAGAGACAAGATACGGGACTAGAGAGAACCAATGTCTGATCCAATATGCAATTCATGTGTGAAATAAACTGTATCAGAGGTTACTTATAAGGCAACATGGACCAGTGTCTAAAACACAGGCCTGGAAGTCAAGTGACCTTAAATTCTAGTCCTGATTATACCGTATGGCCATGCACTGGCCTCTATATCTACCTCACAGGGGTGTGAGGTTTACTAGTTAATGTGTGTAAAATGCTCTGAACTTGTAAAGCACTATATAAATATTTGACTTTATTAGATGCACAAAACAATAGAAAAATCACTGTTAGTTGGAATATGAGGGTAACCAATCTATATCTTGGTTTGCTTCGTAATCTGTCTGTTTACATCAGTGCACACATGCTCTTCTGAGTGAACAAAATTCCAATTCTTCTGAAAAGCTTGGCAAAATCCTTGATTTACATGGTCCTGGACAAGTCATCCTGATCCAAAGTAGTTAGTTTTTATTAGTGTTTATGGTACTCTCAAAAACTGCACTAAATACTGCCCATAAAAATCCTTCCATTCTTGTTCTCTAACTTTTAATGTGTAACACCAGGGATTTTTAAACCATGTGCAGTGTTTAGTCTTATAACTGAATTACTGGAATGAAACGTCTCTTCACATTTATAATGTCTAAGTTGGTTAAAGACAGCAGGTCAAACAAAAAAGTGTGCTCTCTAGATGGGATCCCTATTTTTTGGTGGATTCACTTTGTCTGGGTGATACAGTGGATGGACCTTTATAAGTAACCATTCAAGCATGGTCTGAGGTTCTGTGCACAGTGAATGATGTTCTTCTCCAGTTACACAGTGGCCAGCAGACAAAACTGTGTAAAGAGCACATGCAATTCAATCCAATTTGATTGGAAATAGTTATGGAAGGGCACCAAATTAAAAAGTTCAAGATAAAATTTGGCTCCTGCAATGGGAAGTGGATATTGGCTGAATGTAGCTGTTTATGGAGGCAAGTAGTGTAGCCTCTTGCATAAAGACTTACAAATCCTAAGTTCCTTGCAGCCCAGGTCGGCACATTTCTTGTTTAAATACTTTCATGGCCATCAGTCTCTGGAGCAATTGGTCAGCTGAGTGGGGGAACCATGAGCCTTCCTTTGCTGTAGGTCACTTCACATGCATAGAGCCCCTGGAGGAACTCTCTACAAGGAGAGGAGGAGACACTGCTGTGAGCACAAGTGTTAATTTCCCAGAGAAGTTAAAAATATCATGGAACTTTTGGTTGGGGTGGAATGTGAACTGTCAGCTTGTTGATGTATTAACTCTTCCATCCATCTTCATTTCCAGACCCCTCTTTGCCATGTGAACGGAAGCGAAGGGACCGAGAAGAGAGGCAAAATATTGTGCTCTGGAGACGACCACTCATTACCTTGCAGTATTTTTTCCTGGAAACCCTAATAAACTTGAAGGAATGGACCATAAAGTAAAGATCACCTTTAATTTCCATCTCTAAGCTCTGTGGGGTGCTTTGATTCACTAGATCATTGTGGCATCTCACATTCCGTGATGGTTCACGGTTATAAATCTGTTTCAAAGAAAAATACTCTTTTTTTTAAAGTTTATTTTAAATAAACCATGTTCTCAACTGCTCACCAAAACTTGTGTGTAAATTGCATTGATATCAAACTCCAAATTGCCTTGATAAATAGAAAAGAATCAGAGTCTTTATTTCTGAATAATTGAATATCCTTCTTTGAAATGACAAGATAGTGCTTAGGGAGCTTGACAGCATGAACTATTGTATTAATGACTGCATCTAGACGGGAGCTCAGATTTTATTATTATATGCCTTTGAAACTCATTAAGGGATATTAGTAACTCCCTATCAGGGCAAAGTTCAAGATTGCCTGGCACTTGTATTCACGTTTATGAAATATAGAGAGGACTTTGCTTTTAACCGACGTGTTCTCTTCCACAGTAGGAAATAATCGCTAGTGGTGCTGTCTCTAAACCATGATTTGTAAACGGTATATTGAATAGGCTCTCACCATGATTAGGATTGTGACCCCCAACCTGCCTAACATTCCTTCCTAATGGGGAAGGTTAGAGTTAAGTTTCTTACTGTACTAAACATGAAAAGCTTTGTATTGGAGAAGGATAAATATGAATAAAATTATCAAGGGAGAACAGCATTAATAACAAGCCATCCTAGCATGTTGATAATTAATGGACTTGTGTTCAGAATGAGCCTATGATCAAATGGTCAATTTCCAACCAAGTAGGTATGCTCTGATGTGGTCTTGGGTAATGTTAGTAGTGCCGTTGTTAGAATGCCCCTTACTGAGGGCTTGTCTATATGGAGACTTAGTGCATGGCAGGCTTGGATGTGAATCTGCTGTGTACGTCAAAGCACGCTGAACTTCTAGTGCACAGCTGCAGGGTCTACAGCCCTGGCCACAGCACGGCAGGCTGGTGTGGATAGATTCACATCCGACTTGCCGTGCATCAAGTCTCTGAATAGACAAGCCCTTTAGTCAGTTGAGAATGCTGATAAGCTGCATTCACCCACTTTCCAGGCCAGAAGGAGAGTGCTGATGTATGGGGCCCATTCAGAGGAGTGAGTAACTTAAACGCTGATCTTCTGAAGTGACCCATGTGAAAAATAATTTGTGGCTTATGTAGTGTATTCCTAAAAAATATCCTCTTGCACTTTTTGCTTTCTTTCAGTGTTCTTGGGCTTGTTTCTTTTGAGAACTGTTTTTCCATGTCCCATATACATTTGTGACACTGTTTATTTAAAATTCTTTAACAATTTACTAAAGTACACCCTAGAAAATAACATTGGAGTTGATATTTTATCCAATTTGATTGGTACCTGGCTTTCTATATTTTAAACTTACGTCTTACGTCTTATATTGTAACACAGCAATATTTTGGACACTAACATTATGCAGTATTCACAGAAAATAATTTAACTGATTCTGTTTTAACATATTAACAGACACAAATTCAGATTGTCCTATGCTGGGTTATACTATATTGTTATTAAATGGTGCTTTAAAGGGTGACTGTCAATCTAAGAATTGCACTTCCTGTCTGAATTCTTAGCCTACTGTTACAAGTAACACCAAATATTTCTATAATTGAAAGAGATTAGGGAGTTTTCACCTTGTTTAATTATGCATTTGAGTGATTTGTGTTTAGTCAGTTTCACTGTTTCCCCTATATGGCAATTCCTCCCTGTTGATTATGTGGGATTTGCACACTGCAGCAGGGGAGAAAAACCCCATATAAGGGCAGATGTGGTTGTAAAAAGACAAAAATTGGCAGGGGACTAGTGTGGTACCTGAAACTTTAACTAATTATTTTAAAATTTACTCAATTGCAGTTGATAGTGTTATTTTAAAAACACGATTAAACAGCAAATTAAAATTTCTGTAATATGGCATTAGGTGAGAGTGTAATTGTGTTAGATTGCCAAGAAAAGGGTAAAATAAATGATCTAGCCTAAACCAGCTGTGCACAGCCAAGCAAAAGGAACAGTTTTATTGCAGCCTTGTAAAGCTAGATAGACACAAAATCCAAAGTAGCTGGATCTCAAATTACATAAAGAAATACTTCTCCCCTTCCACCCCCACTGATAATTTCCTTACACTTGATAATTAACTGGAAGGTTTTCACATTGCATTTTTCTGAGCTGAAACCAGAGACCTTTTCAAGGTTTAATTTCAACAGATTAAGAGAGAACCCAAATAGTTATTAAGAGAGAACCCAAATAAGGATGCAAAGTGGCATCCTTTCTAATGCCACTTTGCCCTACTGGTCAGAGCATATGACTCAGAGTTAGGACTTTTAAGTTCTATTCCCAGCTCTCCCACTGACTTACTGTGACCTTCGCTAAGTTACTTAACTACTTTGTACCTTGCTTTACTCCTCAGTAAAATTGATAATATGGCAGTACCAGTTATCTTGGGTGTCAAGGCTTAATGTTTGTAGAACATGGAGTTAATTGGATGAAAAATACTTTCAGTTTGTGTAACAGAACTCTCTTATTCCAGTTCCAAGTGAAATCAGATTCCCATTAAAGAATCAAGACTCCTCAGTTCTTTTAAGAGAGCTTTGACATATGTCTTAAAATAACAAATTTGTCAGGCTGTCTTTTTACCCTTTTGATGCACCCCAATAAAGCTGTTCGACAATGACACAGAGGTGGCTTTGCAATGCATGGAAAAATATGAATGACCCTAATTGTAATTTGTCTTTTAAGATTGTGGCATCGCCGAAGTATCGTGGTGTCTTTTTTGCTGCTGCTTGCAGTGCTTACAGCTGCGTATTATATAGAAGGAACACATCAACAGGTATGCAGTTCATCCAAGTTATTTTCTTTTATGGCTGGCACTTCCTGTCCTTGTCCTATCAAAACGTACACTGAGGGGATTGAATAATGTCATACAGGAATGGTAATGCATCTACCTGAGCGTTCATTTTATGCAGCTGTTAATTCCCCCTGCCGTGCACTCCCTTCTGCTGCATAGCAAATGAATCATAGATGGTAAAGATAGGGAAGACCTATCCGATCATTCAGTCCACCTCTCTGCAGCCACATGTATTCTACTTGTCATCTATCTCTGAATAAGTGCCACTCCACATCTGCTTCTCAGAGTGTTCAGCACTGGGCTCTGCTGTCAGGAAAACTAAGGCTAAATGGGACCATAATCTACCAAAATGTCAGGGCTCCCAGGTAGATTGTTTCTTCCTCCTTGCAGAGGATTCTTCAAACCATCTGGGATGGTCTTTCTCTCCGGACATAGATAATCTAATGGACTGAGCATGGGGGTGGGAGTCAGGAGCTCCTGAGTTCAAATCCTAGTGCTGTTACTCCCAATTCCTTTAAAATGGATTTTATACCTACCTGCCTCCCAGGTGATATGAAGTTTGATTGATACTTTTTGCATCGGTGCAAAAATGTAAACCATTATAGAAATGTAAGTCAGGGAGGAAGGCAATACCAAGTCTCTGATCTTGTCCTGTGGGAGACAGCCCTGTCAGCCCAGCCCTGCAAAGGAGATGGTTGGCTGGAAGCCATCAGCTGTCCCTTCTTGTTGCTCTGACTCTCTCTTCCATGCAGCCCTTTCAGATTCCAAAAATCTTGCCTAAATCCAACTCCACCTGCTTCCCCATTCAGAGATTTGACTGCCCACCTGTGGTGCTTGCAACATGTGCAGCAAGAGTCTTAACTCCCACACCAGATCTTTTATGTAGTAACCTAGCACAATAACTTTTCTGATTGTAATTGAATCCCTTGGTATAATTTTGTGAGCCCTAAGAATAGGTCAGCCCAATGAGTCATGTACCTGGGGAAGAATCTTATGCAGTTTTGAAGCATTAAAGTACATTTCATTCTGCCAGACTGTTAGGCTAACTGCCTTTTAGGTGCTTTTACAGGCATAGCAAGAGCCTCCCTGGTGCTATGCAAATGTATGTTGGTGCTAGAGAAATGACCCTTTGCATTTCAGCAGGGCTTTGATTCCCAACCTCAGCCAGGAGATCCAGGTGCTGCCATTTTCGGATTGGTGTTGGTCCCTTTCACTGACTAGCATTCAATATTGAAAATGGCCTCTAGTGCTCGTTTTCTCCATCCTCTGATGTGACTCATCTTGTTCTTATCCTTGACCTGGAAAATCAAGAGCCTGTAACATTGCAGAACTCCTACACTTGCTGTTCTGTTTTTAACACAGGTACACCTTTATTTAAATCCAGAGGCTAATAATCACTTAGAATTCCCCTTCCAAGTGTTCTCTTATCATTGTTTTTATTAAGAAAATATAGAAACACTCAAACTCACTCCATGTAGATAGTGACTAAGTCCACTAAGTATAGATAGTGACTAACTGACCTCCATCTGGCTGTTTGGCTTCTGAAATGAGTTGATGGCTCAGTCCTGTTCTCGGTGGATAAATATCTGCTTCACAAGAACTGCCCTCACATTTGGTAGTAGCTGGCAATTTTGTCAGTTTAGAGTTCAACTGAATTCCCATTTGACCACTAGGTGGCTCTGACAGATAGTTTGGCAGATCATGGTGAGGAAGTTTACACTACTTCCGTACCTGTTCTGTGGATAACTATGGAAGCTTAGTCTCCTAGTTATCCATCCCATAACCTTTCACAGGCACTGTGTTCCCGACAGATCTTTTGCTTTATCATGCAGACATTAATGGTGGCTAGAATTGAATTACAACTATACCATTTCAGAGTAGCCGCCGTGTTAGTCTGTATTTGCAAAAAGAAAAGGAGTACTAGTGGCACCTTAGAGACTAACCAATTTACCATTGAGTACACTCATTAGTATCCTCTTTGGATCATTGCCATTTACATATAATATCTTTAACACTAGCTATACCTTACATAGATCAGCCTGTTTTGAGAACTGTCTAGAATTCAAGTTGGTCATTTTGACACTGATAAATTATCTTAAGCACTTCGGAAGAGCAGCTGCACCTTTCTTTCCTCCTCCATGAGAATTCACTCATCCTGTTTTTCTTTTGTGATTTTTCTTGTTTTTCAGTATGTGCAGTATATGGAGAAAAAATTCTTGTGGTGTGCCTACTGGGTAGGCTTAGGCATTCTGTCCTCTGTTGGACTCGGAACAGGTCTTCATACCTTTCTACTCTATTTGGTAAGAAACCTACAACTACATTTCCTTTCCAATCACATTATTCCTTTTTATAAGGTGCTTTGAGATCTGTGGATGAAAAGTGCTATATATGAGCTTGGTGTTTATATACTTGTGGACTTTAAAAAAAAAAAATCATCCATGCTGTTGAGTCTTTGTGATGTCATCTTTGCTAAATGGTATTTTGTAACCTTGTTTTGTTGTCTCTACGCTATATATCATTATTGAACTCTTGGTGAGATCCTGCAGCTGGAGATCGTCTTTACCTTGCAGAATTGGACCCATAATTTGTAATGGTAATTTTCAGTGCTATCTGCACTAATTAATGCACTTAAATAAGCAAGGAAGTTTTCTAGTATGAAGTAGCTGTAACAGATGGAAAATGGGGTCTGGACTAGGCTTTTTAGGATGCTTGGGTTTTTTTGGTAGATCAAAATGTTAATTTTCCTAGCTGAAGCTTCTGAAACATGTAGTAAATTATTCTTATAGCTCAGTCCACAGTAATTCTGTTTTATAAATAATAACAAGATACAGGAAAAATATGTCTAGATACCACACTAAATTAACCTCTAAATCTCTCTGAAGACAACCACATTGTGTTGTTTATCTCAACTTCAAATTACCTCGAAAAGTCAGGAAAATTTTGTTTTCCATTGGGCCAGTTCTTTGATTACAAACAACTATCGTGGTTTTAAAAAAGGCTTCATGGCTGCAAAAAATAATTAAAACCGTTTTGTGCAACCAACCCCATGTTGTATTTGGAACAGTTACTGATGGTTTAATTTTAGGATTGCTTTAATCATGACCAATAACACATAAAGCATTTCGGGGGAAAAAGGAGAACTCTTGTTGTTTTCCATGCAATAAAGCAATGCTGCTCAGACTGAATGACAACTGTGAAGGATGCATTCACTTGAGCATTAGGGATGTGTATGCACCATAACTGCTTTCTTAAAGTCTTTGTCGGGAGCAGAAAAGGGGAGACGTAACTATCATCTTCACTCTGAATTAAGGTGAAAAAAGGTTGTGAAGGTTACTCAGTTGTTAATTTTGAGTTATGTGGAATGTTTTAATACACTCTGGCTTTGGTTTACTTTATTTTTCCCCTCTGTACAATGGAGAGATTAGTAAAGGGGAATGTGTGTGCAAATGTAAATAAAAAAGAGGTTATATTTTTATCAGCAGGTGCATTCCACACTTAAAAACCAACACACGTTTTCATTGTTTGCAGGGGGAAGTTTAAAGCATAGGCTTACATGTGCAGTCTGTTGTTGACAGTAGAAGAGAGTGCATGGAAAATGGCAAAGCTCTCAGGATTCCTGTTGAGAACCCTGCCTAGATTTTTCTGCTGTCAAAATCCTTTGCTCTAACTAGAAAATAGTAGCTTCTTTCTGCTTGCAGACTGGAAGAGACTGGCATGTCTTTTGTATTGTGATAGCACCCAAAAACCATATGCGGTATCAGGGCTGCATTGGAAGACATGGCTCCTTGCTCCAGTGAGCTGACAGCATATTGGTAAAACTGTAACTGAATAGGACAGTTGGGAAAACTGGACATTGTGGACATTTACCCCACTGCGCATCAGAGCATTAATCCTAGGCTATATATATTGCTAGTTCAGTGAAGTGTGAAAAGTCACATAGCAGCCAAGCATGCCTGAAATCTGAGAGGTTCATTTCATCAACTTGTTGTAACACAGCAGAGAGTTTATAGGCACTGGAAAGAAACATTGGAGATGCAGCATCACTGAAGAACTCCACCATAAGGTACAGTGAATAGCCTTTTTAGATCTATAGTAAAGGAGAGTTCAAATGTTAAGTATTTTAAATCCTTTAAAATAGAAAAGCAAATGAAACAGGGCAGTGTTCTGCTTACATTTGGCTGTTTGTAGCAGGATACATGAACTGACAGATGTGTAGTTCGCTTAATTTTTGTCTTGTCGTTAACCTGGCTTAACTGTGTCTGCAGAGTGAATGAGTGAACACCTATTGTAACACAACATAAAATAGCATCATGTAGGCAGAGAAGCTTGGATTAGTGAAAGTACTTATTGTGGGACTTGTAAAATCCTTCTGCCAATAAAGCTGCCTTCAAAGGCACATCATCTGCCTGCCTAAGTTAAATCAGACATTCATACTAAGCGGGCACAAATCTATGGTTGTCAAACTCTCAACTCCATTGGCAATTGATAAAGAAAAATAGGCTTTATCTTTTGTCTGAAGCGTCTTACTGTGGAGGCAAACGTAGAAATGGCAAATGAGGGGCTATTTGCTATGTGAACTTCAAGATACAGTGTGGGCAGATGTTAAGTTTTTCCTATGAAGTTCTCACAATGTCTCATTTGTGATTCTCTTCCTCTTGTCTTAGCCTTGCGTTTCTCTTGAGCAGATAATGCCAAATGTGGTGGATTTTGTATTGCAAATGTGAATACTAGGATGAGACCCACCAAACATTTACATTTGTGCCCCTAATTCAAAATCTTAACCCCTGTCTTTATTATCTGCACCTCCTAGTTGCCATTCAAACTCTGGCCAGCTTCTGATCATCCGTCTACGATAGTGAGTCCATTTAGCACAGGAATTCTCAAACTGGCGGTTAGGACCCCTTAGGGGGTCGCGAGGTTATTACATGGGGGGTTGTGAGCTGTCAGCCTCTACCCCAAACCCCGCTTTGCCTCCAGCATTTATAATGACATTAAATATATAATAAAGTGTTTTTAATTTATAAGGGGGAGATTGCACTCTGAGGCTTGCTATGTGAAAGGGGTCACCGGTACAAAAGTTTGAGAACCACTGATTTAGCGTAACTCAAAGCACTGACTTGTTGAAAATTTACACATTAGTATGGAATTAAATAACTGAGATGTTGACTCCAATTTGAGACATTACTTGAGAGAAGCAGAAAGTTGGACTAGCATAGTGGAAGACTCCATGTTTGGGGACTAAGTTCTCTCTGAAAATGCATTTCCACAGTACAGTTAAACACTTGGGAGAACTGGATACATCCACATACTGGGGTTGTGTGCCAACATATGAACCTGTGTGGATTGAGAGTCAGATGACCTTAACGTAAATTCAATAGTCATTCCAGAAAACGGCAACATCTAAACACTGATCTTTCAATGTAAAAGAACAGACAAAATAGACCCCTCTGAATAACTAGAGGGAATTTATTGTAGGCCTTAAAATTCAATAGGTGTGTAACACAATTAACGTAAGTGCATTAATACAGGAAAAATGTGTGTGCTGTTTTGCATACTCTTTGGATAAATTGAGTAGAGAATCAATTTCCCACTATATGCAGGGCCGGCTCTAGGTTTTTTGCCGCCCGAAGCCCCCCCCCAAAAAAAAAAAAAACCCACCCAGAGTGCTGCCCCAAGCATGTGCTAGGTTTGCTGGTGCCTAGAGCCGGTCCTGATTATATGGAGAGAATGCTACAAGTTGTCGTAGGCCTGGTCTACGCTGCTGCTTAAGTCGATGTAAATTACATCACTCAGGAGTGTGAAAAATATCCCCTCCCTCCGAGCAACATAGCTTTCATTGGCTTAACATGGTGTCTACACTGCGCTATGTTTGGAGGAGACGCTGTTCTGCCGACTTACCTTCTGTCTCTTGGGGAGATGAAGTACTGAAGTTGACAGGAAAGCACTTTGCCATCGACTTAACGCATCTTCACCAGACTCACTAAATCAATGTCATTGCGTCGATCACAGCAGTGCTGATTTTGTGTGGCAGTGTAAAGAAGCCCCTAGTGGTAAATAGGTAGAGCAGTGGTCCCCTGTGCGGTGCCTGTGGGCACCATGGCACCCACCGGCGCCAAGCAACAAAGAGGAGAGAAGCGCATCTGCCAGAGAACATGCCGCCAATGAGCGCTTCCGGCGGAGACGCTGCCGCCGAGGAGTGCGGCCACCAGAGAAGCGTCACCACCGAAATGCCGCCGAGAAGCGTCATTGCCCGCCACACTCTTCTGAAGGCATCAGTGTGCTCTTGGCCACAGAAAGGTTGGAGACCACTGAGGTAGAGGAACATAGATGCTGTTTCTTTCCTCCTTCCATATACACTTATAGAAAATATTGTGCAAACAGAAGAGGTCCAAGTGATGACTGTTCTGTGGACGTTAACTTGAGATTTTCTCAATTCTCAGTGTTCTCAACCATGGTGTCACTTAGCTGCGTTAACTCAGTTATGTGCAGTAGTGCAGGTCCTGCAGTCCCTAGGTGGCACTACAAATGTAAAAACACAAATCTGCAACGTATCTAGGCTTGGCAGAAATTGATTTTTAGTTTTATAATTTTGACAGATAATATTGATGTCAATTTAAATGTTCACAGTTGCACAAAATTATGGTGGGTGGTGAGACCATAATTATTTAATGACAGTAAATGTTGAGATTCAAAAAGTTAAAGCTTTATACCATTAAAACATGGTCAACATCACATGTCAAAAAATACTAATTGAATATCCTTAAATCAAACTCTAATAAATTCTCAAGCAGCATTTTTCTTTTTTGGCTATCTGTACATTTCTGATATAAAATCTATGGAAATATTTGTCATCTGTTTGTGTGTATGGTGAAATGGACATTTACAGACATTTATCAATAAAAATATAATCCTTCTAAACGTAAATATATGGAGCTCTTACTGACTTTCCAGAATGCTACCGATTTAAGGATCAAAGGTTTTATTTTTTTAAAAAAAATTTTTTCATCTCTATTGCTAAGGGCAGTGTTGAGTTAAGTGTATGTGTAGTATAATATCAGTTCTGTATCTGATAGCTCCTGAATCTGAGAATTTATACCCTGCATCAAAGGAAACACAAAATACTAACTTGTGACTGCTAGGTGCAACTGCAGAGTGTAATTGAAGTCTTTCAGAAGAGCAGTATAAATTATTAGTCCAGGTGTATTCAGAAGTTCTCCAGCTCATCATATAGGTGTATTAGGTGTCTCAAACTGGTTCATTTAGCTGTCCAATATATCAGATTTTTAAAAATAATTCACAA